ACAAGAAATAATTTTGTGTTCATAACAGCCAATTGTACACTCAGACGAATGTTTGCATACGTAGCCACCCATTTGGAATTGGGCCCAAATTAGAATTAATACCATGGGCTAGTTCCAGGATTTAGTTCTCAAGTCTATTTATAATGATGTAATATACATTAAAAATATCCACCTCTGCGGACTGCATTCTGCAGAGGCTTTTCTGGCTGCAAACCAGTGTAGCTGCAACAATCGTACACCATCAGGTAAACATGCACTTTGGAGATAAAAGTCTGGTACATCCGGTAGAACTGTCATCGACACAAATTTAGTGCATGTGTAATGTTAAGAAACGGGCTAGGCTGTGTAAGAGGCTGTAGATAAGACAGCCCCAAGCACCTCTTCTTTTTCGGGCTCCTTACACTCCACGCTGCTTGAACAGTGGCTGTGCAAATGAGGAGATGGGCTATTTCCAGGAGACAGCCACTTCAGTTCAAACCCCCTGAGATGATAGCATGCACTTTAAGAGTAATAATAGCTGCAAGCCACTGAGGGGCCCAGGGGATGGGATCTTGACATGCTGTATGACATTCAAGAAGCCTGCCTCATGTCTTCTGTCAAGCCTAATGCCCAAGCTTGAAGTGCAGTGCTGGAGGGAGAAGGGGGCAAAAAAACTCTCTTGATTTAAAATGGATATTGCATCACTATCATACTTAGCATCTTCTGCAGCTTGGTGCCCCAGACTGTCTGGAGGACAAGGATTTAGAAAGTCTTTCATCTCCTCCCCCATCCACCACTCCATGCTCCCTCTTTACACAGTGACTGCTACTGGAGCTAGGCTCCTAAGAAAGCACAGCATAATGCTTTCTTACAAGTTTACCATCCCATATTCCCACTAATGTTACCCATCCGTTAAGAGATACACATCGATCTTAGAGGATTGTGTACTGTGTCCTCCTAAGTGGTGAGACCAGGCTGAGACTATATACAGCACACCCAGTGTGGTCTCCTGTCACAGGCCGCAGGAACAATCTGCAAGAACCCTCTGTCTGGCCCCATTGTTTGTGGTCAGACAGTGATGTCTCTAGAGATGGAGCTAGTCTTAGTTTTAATCCAGTGATTAGGCTCAGACTGGCCTAAACAAGACATTGGTGTAATTTCATTTTCTATTACTGGAAGACAGTTCCAACGTGCCTTTGGATCCAACCATGTACAATTTCAGAGTTTTTGATGTCAGAAGAGGAAAAACACTCTTACTGTACCATATCTTTTTTAGGACAGCTAAGGATCACCAAAAGAATAGAAGAATAAACCATTACAAGAAAATGATCATGCATAATAAGTTATATTAAGAGAGAGGGAGTTAACTCCTTGTTTTGAATCAAGAGAATGATAACTATGACTCTTGATTTTTTTATCATACACTAATTAGTATTCCTTAGGGTCAGATGACTGTGGTGTGAAATCTTGGCATCAGATGGAATACCGATCTTTCATCAGCTTTCATCATAGCCACTAGTATAATACAGAAATGAGTGTACAGGTGGGTTTTTAATTGGATTGGTTAAGTAAGATGGTTGTTCATCCATTGTCTTCAATTATGAATAAGCCAAACATAAAGTATTGTATGCCTGTGGCATCCAGTAAAGATATTGTAATAGTAATATGTTGTTTGAACTGTAGACACAATCAAATGTGTGAAGAGAACAGATATCAGATGATTGCTTGTTTGCTGCCTATTGCTGATTATTTCATTGGGATTTTTTGTTTGGTTTGTTTGGTTTGTTTGGTTTTTGTTTGGTTTTTTGGGTTTGGTTTTTTTTTATGTGTGTGTGTAGTGGAGGAATCTCATTTTCAAGGTAATACAACAATACTATAAATGAGTAGGATGTCTAATAGGGCTTTAAAACGTGTACTTTTGAAATCATGTCCATGCAACTGAGGTGGAATAATTTGAGACATAGGCTGAGGCAAGCAGAGAGAGAAGGAAAATGAGTCTTTTAAGCTTCTAAGCACCAAGTGTAGAGAACAGAGACATAAGCAGGGAGAGGTTGTATATGTAAGTGCACATGCCTTTTAGGAACAAACTGGGCAGAGAACCAAGGGAGATTTCTTTACTGGTGATTACTGGACACTGAAAACATGCACACAAAATTACTTTCAAGTTCAAAACTTAATCTTCCTTTATTCTTACTGGTAACCTTTTTATCTGGTAAGGTAGTTTCACCTGACAGTGTTGTTGTTTAGGAGCTGGTAAGGGTTTCTCTCTCTTATTGGTTATGAAATTCTCTTGTCTGAAAAGATGCATTTTATTTTTTCCTTTTATTTTTTCTGCTTCGCACAATTTTTTTTGATTGTTCTATGATTGAGATGGATTCTCATTAATTCCTCAGCTCAGCTGCAGTAGGTTCTGGGACCGTGGTGAACTCTCAGAGAATGTGTAGTCCACAGGAATCATCTGAATTATAAGTTTATAAGAAACTCTTACTGGCTTCTTCATGGCATTGCAGGTTCTGTACATTTTAGAAGTGATCTTGAGCAGAAGAGAAAACAAATCAGTTCCTTGGGGGGAAAAAATTTTTTAGTTAAATTCTAAATTTAGTTAAATTCTCATGATTGCAGAAATGACGAAATATAGTCAAATAAATAATTGGTTTTTTGGAAGAGATTACATTCAGGAGTTATTTTGACTTAGTCCAGTATGGGAAATAACAGTCATGAAGGTAGAGATAGAAATGTTCTCTTATCTTTGATATCTGTTTTTCTTAAAAAATTTTAGTCAATTTCAATTCTTAAAAGAAAATCACCTACTGTCACACTTATGGAAGTAAGACCTTGCTTTGATTTTTTTTTTTTTTTTAATTTAACCTACTACCCCTTTTTATAGGGTAAAATTATTTAGGGAAGCAAGACATTATTCAAGACATTATTAATGGGGCTAATATTTCACCTGCTAGAACTCAAATAGCAAATTATAATTCTCCTCAGCAGTACAGGAATTTCACCCTATTATTTCCTAGGTCTCGTTAAAAATAAAAGGACACAATCAATTGCAAGTAACTGTTTTTCGTGCAAGTCATATCTTGAAGACTGCCTGAGATACTTCAAGAGAAGATGGAACTTTGCTGATCTGACCCTGTTGGGATGGAAATTATTTAAGTGGCCCATTTTTTAAAATGTTTCATCTTGCTCTTTCCATTTAGAAGATGGTGCACAGTAAGTAGTGGGACATTAATGGTCTGGATAGGACTTACTGGGCTGTTGTACCTGTGGGCAGGTTTCTGTGAAGATAATCTGATGTGTTCTCAAGTCTATCTACTTGAGAAGTAGCACTTACTTTCTTCGGTGGCTTTTTATAAAATCTAGTGTCATCTTTTAGCTGCCTGATTCATTATCCTATGTATCACTTTTACCAAGTATACAAATATGTTCCTTACAGCCAACTTGAAATGCTGTGAAAATGGACTGCCGGATAAATAATTAGTGATTACTAGTATCCAGTAATCATCAAGGCTTTACATTTCATCTTTGTAAAATATTTCAGCTTGTCTAGACACTTAGCTTGCTTGTAACTTCAGAGATGGTACTGGTTATCTCCTTCTTGGATTCCCAAGAATAAGCGTGTTGAGACTTGCTACTGGTGCTCCCCGAGGGATTTTACGCAAAGTGAGCCGGAACCAACAAGTTAGCAGAAATAATGCTTCTGGTTTGGGATATTTCTTATTTTCAAGGAGGAAAAAAAAACAACTTTAACCTCTTCCCTTTTCTATCTTCCATTAACAACTTGGTCTTTGAATTTTGCTTTGAAAAAGTGAATGGTGCAATTCTAAATATGACTCCTTGAGAAGCTGTTGTGCCTGTGTGTTTATGGGGAAGCACATAAAGTCTGGTGTATCACAGACTGGCACAGAGATGGAAAATCCATTTATATAGTAGACTGACGTCTAAAACGTCTCTTTACCATAATTTCAGTGTTTAGTAAACTATTGAAATCCAGCATTAGATAAGGTAATACATGCATGACTTTGGCATAGATAGTGCCACTTTGTTGTTTTACAGCATCTGTAGTAAAAAGAGGATGGAAGTGGGGTGCAGGGTAATTCCATCAAAATAATAAGGATGAGTCTCGTCTGCTGCCTGCACAGCTGTTAGGAAGGCAGTGTAGCCTTGAGATTTTAGGTGGTGATTTAGAAACAGGAGTAAGAGTTGGTATTTATCATTTACAGTAGAAGCTTGTTATTGCTGGGTATGCTGCTTGCTTCTTCCCCCCCCATTTTTGTGCCTATTAAATATAAGCTGTAGTTTGCAGATACTGATCATTGAACTGAGCAATTCGTAAAAATGTTGCTGGTGCTGCTAATAGATAATTGGATGTTTCTGTGTCCCAATTCGTCAGATAAGTGGAGGAGATTGCCAGCTCCAGAGACATCCAGCAGCAATTTGTTATACCTGAAGCATGCTGGACAAAGGCTTTAGTGGTTTGTTACAGTTAGAGGGGAGTAATGGCATTTAGGCAATGCCAAATAAAGTTTTCTGTCTTGTACCTTTTCCCGCTATAGATCTAATAGCTTTAACATCCTGCTTGAATACAAAATACCATAGTAGTTTACAGCATGATTGTCATATGTGCTGTTTGTTCAAGTCATCTCTATTCCCCCATCTCTGTCTGCTCTGGCCAAATGATGGTTCTAGGTAGACCCTGAAATTCCATTTGCAAGTGCAGGGTTAAAGGGACAGGATAAGGGATAGAAATGCTGACGATTCAATCATTCCTGTTTCTTTAGGAGATGTTCTGGTTTCCTTGTGCTTGACATTTACAGCTCATTCAGTGGTAAACTTCATTTGGTAAGCATTAACTCATCTGCAGATGTTAGTATTCCACTGAACTTTTAGGACCGCTGTTCAGATCCAAGTTCATTTCACAAGTGGCTGATGGACTGTGTTAAACTGTTTTTCTGCTTAAGTCAGTATACTGCCAAGTATCCACATCACTAGGAAAATCACGATTGTCAGGGAGAGACTGAAGACTTGAAGGCAGTCCCTTCAACCAGTATATTTGAGCCAGTGGAGCAACGAGAAATTACTCCATCTGAAGACGTGGTGATGTACACAGCTCCACCTCATCAAGCACAATGTTTTCTACTCAGGCCAGTGCGGAGTCCCAGTGGCACGGCCCAAGCATGAGTTTGGCAGCTGCTGTGCCTACATCTGTCCCAGAACTTGCAGAAGTCTTTTGAGCCCAGTGGTTGAACTGCTGATGCCTGTGCTGATGCATGAAATTTATTAATAAGAAAAGGAAAAAAGTGAAACAAGTAATCAAAAATATCTATGGACCACTTCTCCTGGAAAATGTCTTTGCTAACCAAAATATTAGGTAAAAATGGACATATGCTTCATTACACCATATATGAGAAATGGATAATTAATATTAGTGATACAGAAATATGAACCCTAACTGAGACCTTTCCTATTGGTGCAATAATACCAACTTGCTTTAGTTTTCATTGTGCACTGCCAGTAGTTGCACTGTTATGTATACGGTCAAGGATGTTGATGAGTAGCCTGACAAAATCCAGAGGTGGAAGGAGAGGTTGCAGAGAAACCTGATGTTCCAGAGGCTTGTCAAACAAGAAGAATTGCAACTCTTTTGGAACTCGATCCCTTCATTGAGGATAGGAAATGATGCAGGAGATAAGTGGTTGAGGTGGGCTCTGCAGGAGAAGCTTTCAGGAGATGTTCAGCTTGTTGTTGTCCAGTGTTCCTTTCCCTAGGGCCTCAGTTATTGTAGTGTCCTGTGTAGGAAAGGACATGTCTCACTTTTTGTCCAGCCACAATACTGCTGGAAGCATCCTCTGCTTACAGAGAATGTTCCTCCAACTGTATTTTCTTTCTCTCTTATGCCCCTTTTTTGCTTTGTAGGTTTCTGCTTCTGCAAAATATATCAAACAGCTGCTCATCTTCAGAGGAATTCGTGACCTGTGGATACCCTTCCTACCATCTTTCCTTTCACACCAAGAATTCAGCACTGCTGTTGGTCAGCCTTCATTGCCAACATCCTTGGAATGTTTTCCCCCTTTTCAGTTAGTCTTCACAGGCTCTCTCTTGCAGTCCTTCCTGCTTGCCAGGCAAAGGAAATACTCTAACGTCCTGTTCCCTCTTTTTAAAACTCCAGCTTTCTGCAGTGTTACAGAAAATTTGACAAACAGTTGGAGTCTGTCCTGAGACCACAGCTTACTACAGCAGTGAATATTGTCTCATTTTCTCTTCAGTCTCCATTCATCTCAAGGTCTTAGTGGGCATATGTGAGATGTCACCTTGTTGGGGGCAGAAGTGATGGGTTTTGTTCTATGCTTGTGTCTCCTTGCTTTGTGAAGGATCTTGGTTCAGAACCTAGGTTCTAAATTTTGTCATAATGTGTCAGCACTGATTCACAGAATGGTTTGGGTTGGAAGGGACTTTTAAAGATCATCTAGTCCAACCTCCAAATACTATTGTTTGTAATAGAACATTTATAATAATGTCAGCTATTTTTTGTTAGTATTACTTGGCTGAACAAGGAACTCAGATTGGAAGTCAGGAGGAAAAAAAAATTGTATAGTCTCTGTAAATGAGGTCAGGCTTTGCAGGAAGATTACAGGTGGTCAATGCTTCAAGCCTGTCGCTGTTTTATGAGGCATTTGGACAATGCCCTTAATACAATGCTTAAATTTTTGGTCAGGCCTGAAGTAGCCAGGCAGTGGGACTAGATGATCATTGCAGATCCCTTCTAGATGAGCTATTCCTACCCTTCTTTTTCTCTTCTTCCTACCCCTACTTTCCCTACCAGTACATGCTGAGGAAATCGCTGATGACATTTCTTCCCAGCCCTGCACTAGCAGAAGGCAGTGAATACCCATAACCATCTCCCAGCCTAGGCATTGGCTCTGTCACCTTGTGGGAAGGAGGCCTTCCCACCTTCTGAAGGGCATGAGAGCTGTGGGTCATCTTGAGATAATGGGACCATCTGCACAAATTTGCAAAAAGCAGATGTGATGCGTGGTTATTGAAAGTTTTCTCTGTTCTTCCAGTTTCCCTGGATTTCCATGGGATGGCAAAATTCCTGTCTCTGAGGCTTGGAGGTCAAGCCCTCAGTCTGGTGCAGGATATGCTCCTCAACTAAATGGTTGCAGCTCTTTTGGAGGTGTCAGTTTCCCTGTAGATTTTGTTTCTTCTCCTTGTACTCATTTTGAGAAATGCCTAAACCATTTTCCTTGGGAAAACATACTAAAATACCTGTGCCTGAGAACAGCAGCACTTCCTCAGAGGGAAGGTCCATCTCACCCAAAACTTAATCTCCAAAGGGGCCAAGCACCAGTGACTAAAGGAAAGCACATGAGCAGTGCAAGTCTGCTTCTCTCAGGGTCCTGGGGGAGCTCACAGGCCTCAGTGGCTGAGACCGACCTCCTCTCGGACTCCTACCCGCACTGTCTCCTGCCAAGGGCCCAGGGAATGTGTCCCAGCTCAGCCTGGGGCCTTTAGTCCCTGCCTGAGCCATGCTGGAGGTGTGCCTGTTTCTGTCTCTGTCTCTTGGATGGGTCTAGGCCCTGTACTGCAGAGAGTTGCTCTCCAGGATGGAGTCCTCAGGCTTGGGTCATAGGTTGTCACGCAGAACTCTGAGAATAACGTGTCATAACTATTCTGTTCTGTTTGCTGTGCTCACCATAAGCTAAATAACACAGAGGCTCTTATTTGCCTGCCATGACACTGGCAGTCTCACATGGTTCCAGGTGGACATATAAAAAGCAAACTCTTCAGTCCTTCTTGGCAGCAATCTTCCATGTGTGTAGGGCCTCTAAAGGGAGGCAATTGCCTTTTAGTGTCAGATGTCCACCTGTCCAGCCACCTCCTTACCAACGTCAGCATTACCAGCCACAACCTTCCTCTTCACTACGTGACTGTAGAATTCATTAAAAGATTCATCAGCACCTTTATTCACACTCCTGCAGAGTAAAGCATATCCCCACAGACAGCAGTGACGTGAACTGCGTCGCACTCACCCACCAGTGTTTGGTCTCTTGTAGCTTTTTCAGTGTCTGGGCTGGTTTGGCATTTTCTGCCATGAAACTTCTGAAGTGGAAGCTCAGTTAATGCCAGACATGGATATTTTGTTCCATGGCAGTCTTCAGTTTCGAAATGGACTGGACTGGCACCACCAGCTTCATGCTCAGAGCCCACCCACACACCCCATCTGTGGCTCAGCTGCCCAGCGGAGGCTGGATCTCCTGGTCGTGACTATGTGGAGCTGGACTCCAGCAGGCTACTGATGCGTGGAAACCCCCTTAACACATCTCTCAGGCTCCACCCTTCTTGCTTTGCTGTCATCAAATGTAGGAAATAGGGAAGTTCGTGGTCAGGTCTTTTGAATTTAGATTGCAGAAAACCATCATCCAAGAAATGTAGGTTTCCTTGTCCACATCATATTCTGGATTTCATGGCACCCATGAGGCAAAAGCAGCTCTATCTCATGGTATGGTTCTACAGCCCCATACTCCTCATCAGCTGAAGTGGATAGAGAAGACCATTACTGTCTGATAACTTCCAAGACTGAGATGCAAATTGAGAACAATGGGGTAGATTTGCAGATTAACAAATGGAAGATCTCACCTGAAAATGGTATGAAGATGTTGCTATCTTTTTGATTTGCCTTTGATGTAAAACAATCAGAGTTTTTATATTGATTAATATTGTACATATTAATTTTATATTAATATGTACAGATTTTGTGCCTTTACTTGTAAAAGCTGAAGTGCTTTCCACAACAGATGTAACTCTGATTTTGAGCCAGATTTCAACGCAACTGAGGTTTGTCTCTGGGCAATTAAAATCCTCAGTTAACATATTAATTATTTTTCTAATGATATTGCATTATTTTTCTTTTCGTCTTCTGAAGGGAAAAGAAAGTGTCTAATTTGTATACTGGTTTGTGAGTTATTTAGCTAATTTACACATGAGAATTTGTTAGTATTTATCTTGCAGTCACAAAACCGTGGATTTATTTTAAGGAATTTTATATATTTCCTGCTCTAGTGAGGTGTATTAAAATAGTAACTTCAGCTGGCAGTTGCAATTACCAAACCTGAAAAATGCAAGGGTTTCTTTTACATGTTTTTATTTGTTGAGATAGACGGAACAAACACTTCTAGCATAAATAACTGATGCTACCTCTCTTTCTCTGATCTTTGTAAAAATTGAAAAACCTTTCGAATATCAATCTGTAGAGGTTAAAAAAAAATAATTCTCATCTCTTCAGTGTTGTTCCAATCCCTTCAATGCAAAACAGTGCTTAAACCGTGCAGCAGACAGCTGTTAATTAGCAGCATATTGGGGCTGATGCTGGCAGGGATGATTGAGGAAGGGAAGCAACAGAGGAACAGAAAAGCATACGTGCAGGACAAACATACCTGCTTTTCTGTTATTGTTAGCAGAATTTTTTATGGACGGAAAAGCATGTTCTGTGTTCTGTTAGCATGTCTGTGTGTGGTGCTCCATCTCTGTCTAAAGTGGCTCAGTAGTTTGGGCAGATGTCTCTTCTCAGATGCTAGATCAGCCCTTATGCAGGTGGTGTCATACTGAGCACAAGTCTCTAGAAGCAACCTGTTGACCACTGAATGAAATACTTTTTCAGGATTGAATAGGTTTTACTGCACAGACTGAGCTGTTACTAACCTGTACTACATGTTGTGGCTGGAGATCTGTTGGGCTCATTACTGTACAAATTACTGTATAAATTACCCCAAGGCACTGAACAGTTCATGGGTGAAGAGCAAGCAATACAGAAAGCTTGGACTGCAGCAGGAGACAAGGGTACAGCAGAAATGTAATCATGCACACGTAGATGTGTGCACATGTATGTAGAGATGTAAAACAGGCATTGATTTTAGCTGTTAGCATTCCAGCTCTATTGTTATTGGGGTTTTCTTTGCAAAAAGTGTTCTTGAGTAAGGAATTCGAAGCAAGACAGCAGGCACCAGCAGGATATGAGTCTGAAGATTGCTTCAGGCAGGGCATGGCATACATAAAGATTATGTTAATGTACTTGTATGATAAGTAGAAAAAGCCAGAAGGTACTTGGAGACTCCATAAGGGGCAGGATGGAGGGGTCGAGCATCAGCTGCAGAGACTAGCAATGGCTTCTGTAGGGAGGGGGACAAACCTGAAAGAAATGAAAAGTGGACGGGGAGAAGGGGAAGAAGGAATAATAGCAGAAATGAAGAAAATACATAAGAAAGCTGAAGGGAGAGGGATTGAGGCACAGCTGGGCTTGTCAGGGCTGAATAGCAAACGAGAAACCTTAATGTTAAATGATGGGTGATGAAAGAGAAGGTGTTAGGCAAGGTGAGAGAGATAAAAAGAGAAATCAGGGAAGTAGTAAACGTCAATTGAATCAACTTCAATTTGCTTCATTTTCAGAAGGAGAATTAGGTTAGGAAGTCTCCACTGCTCAGTGGACTCTTCTCCCTATTTTTCATTTTTCTCCTGGATCGTGCTGATCTCATACAGAGGTCTTAAAAGAAACTACTCATCCTCTATGCAGGGCTAATTTTGTTGGAAAACTGTTGTTCCCAGACAGAAATCAATGCATACGCAGGCTGTGAGTAGTCTTGACACAAACAGCACAACTCCTGTATTCTTTAGTCTCTTCCTTTCACCTCTTTATCACACAGGTTCTAAACATAAAACTAGTTGGTTTTGTGGCCCTTGAGATGATATGTTTGCATATGCATTTATTGAAATAAAATATTTTATTGAAATAAAATATTTGCTGTTTAGACTTCTATTGCAATACTAACTGGCAGACCCAGTCATGGACTGAGAAGAAGAGGATAAATGCTGTAGAGCGCCATGGGAAACCCGAACAAAAGTGCCAAGGAACATGTCATCTAGATGTAAGAGTTCATAAGTGACAAGAGACAGCCAACAAAGAAATCCAGAAAACAGTGTTCATCAGAGCACTGATAGTCTTTCTGATCACAGGCTTTCCAATTTACCTGAAGTGCACTTCAACTATAATTACCTTTCTGAAGCACATCATTTAGCATAAATGTACCCCTGAATAAATCTATAAACCTTTCCTATCTATTGGCATTAAAGTTTGAATGCATACAGACCCATGTGCCACCTGTCCTGTGTGGCAGAGCCCTGGCCACAGTGTGGCACTGGAGCTTTGCTGCCCTATTGGGTGTTCCTGTGTGGATGATGGCAGCTGGGCCTTCTGTCAGGCTTGCTATAAACCCTGAGCGACGTCGTTCTTTCTGGATTAAACATGTGAAGGGATCACAACACATTTTATCTCTGTGCAAAAGATGCTTTCTGTGACTCAGTATAGGTTTTGCAGGATGTGTGAGCCAGGCAGTTTAGGTAGATAGTATTTCAGTTTATTTTTGCTTCCCATTCATAAACTAAGTGACTTGAATTGAAGTCTGTAATGCTGAGATGCTTTGAGGAAGGAGGAGTGAGAAAATTTATTGCAATAAATTTTGGGGTTGTGTTTGCTGCAGCCGTGTTCGGCACGGCAGGAGGCAGGCCCGGTGCAAGTCTGGGAGCTCTTCCTCCCTCCAGAGTGATCATACAGCATCCCTGGTCTGCATAACCTGCTGTTGTGGTGTGGATGCTTTTGAAGGTAGGAGTGGGGCTGTGGGTTTTTCATATTGCCTGTGGAGTATGAAACTTCCTCTCTACGAAAGCTGCATTAGAACTGGCTTAGAAAGAAACCTGTGCTTTTATCCCAAATCACTAACAGTAGAGACATAAAGGAATGTCTCTACCGTACATGGTATAATGTAGTATATTACTTTTTGTGATGTGAGAAGCTATTAAGTGTGAAACCAGGTTCTGTGAGGCTGTAGAAAATTCATGGTGACTGTGGTTGTGAGAAGTGGATTTACAGTTCAGCTATTTGGAAGAGTTTTTGTTGTGTGCACTCCTAACAGACAGCTGAAAAAAGTATGCATGTGGATTAACTTCTCTGAGATTGCCTTTAAAGATAATGTGGCTCCTTGCCCAACTTTCGGATCACCCTGCTTTATTTCCAGTGTAAATACGCTTTTTCAATAAAAGCAAAGGGCCACCAGACTATAGGCAGTTGGTAAATTTGGGACTAAAACAGATTATGTCCATGAGATTTAGTGTCTTGTGCAACACAGGAGATAACAAAGCAATGTGTACTTTTACTTTGTTTAATTTCATGGCTATTACATGTTTTGAAAGCCTTTTAATATTGGAGGATATGATCAAATGATATTGTTTTGTTTTATAAACCTTTTTTTTCAGCTGAACATTTCTGAACAGTAGAACATCTTCCTAAATCCGCTACCTTGCCCAACTCTTTTGCGGTCTCTTTTTTGTTTTTGTGCTTGTGTTGAGTTGGCTATTTTAGTAGTGTTGTTTTAAGGCTTTATTTTTTTTCCCTTGCCTTCTCAGCTGTCACTGAGTGCACATCAGAAACTGATGGTGGGGATGAATGTTAAGGTGGGCCAACAGTCTCCAGGTGTTGAACTGTCTTGTTGCTGAGGTGCTTTCCCTGCTAGTGCTGTGGAGAAGCTGTAAAGTGTCAGCGTGCCCTGATCACAAAAGAGAGCTGAAATACAGACATCATAAGTCTTGTTGTTGTGTCTGAGTTGTGGATGTCTTTCACTTTTTAAATTATAATTTAAAGTTTTATTATTGCATGTTTGGAGAGCCTTCTGCCCTTGCTAATTAGGCCTCCTTTATTCAGATTTAAGTTTCTCTTTGTTTCCTTGTTTTTCTCTGTGTAGTCTTGCATCATGTGGATGCTTTAATACTGGTTGAGGTTGAATAGAGAAGCAGAATCTTGTTCACTGTATTTTGCAGTCTGATCTTTGACTATTCAGACTATGTTGGATACCTGGTCAGCTCCAGGATGGTACACTGAAATTTACTTCATTTGTGGCTGGTCCCCTCAATATCTAAGCTTGTCAATAAATTGATGGGAAGAGAAAATGCTGCTTGGCTGGTACCCATCTAAGCTCACTCAATGTGAGGATTTTGCAATGAAGCTGAAGATCCATTGATGGTGTCTTGTCTTTCAGTTTCTTCCTAAGTTAAACGGATATTATGCTTAATCTTATACAGCCTGAAAAGTTTATTGTACTTAACACCGTTCTTACTTTTTTAAACACATGTATTTCAGCACTGAAGCGTAGGACAGCTTCCAGCTCTACTGGAACGTAGTGTAGTACACTGTTAACACGGTAAGATGTACTCAGAACTGAACAGTGGAACAAATCAATTAATAAAATGTCATCAAAACAGACAGGCTTTGGTGGAAAAAACAATATTTTTAAATGTCGCTTATGTTGGTTATGGGATACATGCTGAGTTAACCTCATTGAACTTTTCCCCAGGAATTGATGCGCTTACAATTGGCGGGTCATTATGCTGCTCCACCTGTGTAGTGTTAAGGTCAGTGTGTTTTTCTGATTATAAAAACCATCCATACCATTCCATTATAAATTCACTACCATTCATATAATGGAATGTGCCAAAGCTCGGAGCTCGTTGCAGCTGCCCCCGGTCCGTGTCTAAGGTCAAACAAAGTGGTTCAGGTATTTTGAGCACCTTTTCAACAACACACCCAATTAAGCTTCATTTAAAGTGATCTTTTATTGTTTATGTTTTCTTTTTTTCTTTTGTGACCTACTAAGCATCCATCTGATGTCAGTGTTGGTTTTGTTTTGTGTGGCCAGCCCAAGAATTCTTATTGAATCAAGACACGGTGATTATAAGATCATAGCAAGGAGGTCCTGGGAGCAGCAGGCAACTGTAACACTGCAGTTGCACGAATCCATGTGTGGGCAAGACACAAAATGCATCAACCACTCACCTTCACAAGACATTTTCTGAAACCTGCACCTTCTAACTGTGAATTAATTCTGAGTCATCACGACACACAAATCAGCCATCATGGTAGACACTAATGTGTGAGATGCAGGGATGTATGACTATGGCACTAATCACTTACTAGGGGAACCTGTGAGATTATGTGCATGCGTAACACACTGCTGCTGTATGCATCTTCCTGCACAGCTTAGTCTTCTGAATTGTTATGCATTATCAAAGAGAGCCAGAATGTGCACTAAAGCTTATCTAGTGTTATTTCTGTCACTGAAATGTTGATATGGTTGGGGCTTTTGTTTGTATGTTTGCTTCTACATTTTCCTTTGTTATTAATCATGCAAATAACTTGAATTCTGTGAAGAGTAAGAGTTCAGTGAACAGCCATGTATGTCGTAGATCATTATGTTCTTCCAGTTTCACAAGGACATATCCTTCTGTGTCAAGTTTTGCACTCTGTAGTAGCCAGTGAGAGCCTCTGGCACTGGCAGTTTTTCTGGAGATGTATTTTGAGCCTCTTTGCAAAGTAGGCGATGCTGTAATGTCTGAGGAAATACATGAAGTCTCTTGATGATGACAACTGAGAGTTTTTGTGGAGAATTTTTGTGTCCAACAGCACTCCTTCTTTCACCTCTGTCTAGCTGCAAGCTCAGTGGTATTCTACATGCATGTAGTTTCACAAAAAGTGATGAAGAGTCACTGGAAGACTCTTTGATGAAAAGCAGTCCTTGACTGTTCTAGTTTAGGAAAACTGTTCACAAGCTGACATTTCACATGACAATCATTTAAATTTTGCAGCTATTGCATCAGGTAAGTACATCTTCACAGGTATTTGGCAGTTTCTTTTATTACTCTGAGGGGAAAAAAAACAAACCTTAAATTAAATATACCCCCAAAGATGATGCAGGTCATGGTAGGATTGCACGTTTTTTCTAAATTGAAGAGACTCAAAAGGAAGGGCTTGTTTCATAGCAGAAGGGGTAAGAAAAAGATTCAGAATAGGGGTTTTTTAGTAAAGCAGAGTGCATTATACCTGTTTAATTTATGAGCAAAGCTGTATTTTACGTAGGCACCAGAAGGATCTATTTGCAGCATTTTCAAATTCAACTGTGGTGATATTAAGTTTTAAATGAGTGGATCTCTCACTGCTAGCTAAGTGTCTTAACAAATCTAGGCCCTGATACAACACACAGGAGATCTTGGAAATTGTATTAAATACCTCCCACCAATAATCCTGCCAGAAATAGGTAGCTGATGCAACAGCAGGAAAAAGTAAATTACTTACCTGCCACAGCATAGTCAACTGCTGTGATGCTTTGTCTCTTCAGCAGGGTCTTGTGGTTAAGATAAGGGAGTCTTGGTCCTCAGTGTATGTGGTCAGCTGTATTCAGATGTACCAAAGTGATATAAATCACTTGTCACAAAGTGATAAGTGTCTATTAGATATATCACCTATACTTATAGACAGAATTCGTTAACTGCAGCTTTGGCTCAGTTTCTACCACTCCCCTCTATGCATGGAGGCAGAAATGCAAAACACTTTTTAAACTAAAGCAAGTCATTCCTTGGTCCCCTGTCCCACCCCACCCTCCTCATCCCCTATGGAAAGCATGTTGAACTGAGTTTATAACAGTATTTCCAGCTGGACACTTTTTTCGTCCTTTATGGCTGTTATTAGAAAAAAATTTGTTTCCCTTTCAATCTGAGCATGGACTACTTCAGGGAAAGCAAACCAAATACAGGATTTAGTGCATGGCAATGAACGGTAGGTGCTTCCAAGAGCACTTACTTGTCCTTGCAAATAATGCTTATGATTTGCAATGTAAGCATTGGAGGAAAGTGCCAGTGTTTCTAATGAATTTGAAAACTTGATGGGTGCAAGAAGTGCAGGACCCTTCCAAATCCTTGCGGATGCCTGAGCGCTATTTACAAGTGTTGAAGCATCTAATTTTGTTTCTTAAGTTAGTTTCCCTACATATGCCCTATATAGTAAACAGAGTAAAATACTACTTCTGGTAGTATTTCAGAGCACCCTTTTCTCTCCCTTAACTGTAAAACCAATATAGAAAAGTTACCCTCAGTCAAATCTCAATGAAGATTTGTAAAAAAACCTGAAAGGAAAAGGTAGAAACACAGCTGAAAAAATATTATCACACCATCAAAACACAATCTCAGTTACAAAAAGACTTAGTGCTCTAGCATGTCGTGGCTCCAGCAAGCCATTTCTGGCTTTTAAAAGATCTTCTCCGGATGAGACACAGGATAGCATATTAACCTTTTGTTTTGGATGGATTTAGTACTTCGTTAAGACACACAGCAATGTTTTATTTTGAAAAAAAAAGCCTTTAATTAGAGTTTATCACATGTGGAGTTCATACTTTTATTAAAGAGTTATTTATGAAAAAAATCTATTGCTGTTCCTAACCGTTGTTACTGTACAGTTGTTACCTGTGGTTTATTTAAGATTTGACAGAAAGAAACCTTTCAAACATCCTTTTGTTGTGTAGTTCTTGAGCAAAAATAAACAACAACAAAAAGCAGTTATAGGAGTTATTTTTTATGAAAAAGCATACATAGGTAGAACCTATACTGAAAGGTATTTCCCAAACAAAAATATTCCCACATAGCCAAAATAATGCATTTTGCAATCCCTTTGCTTTAAACCTTATACACTTGCATTGCCTTTCTCGGTGCTAATGATAACCAAAATATGTGGAGTGTGTTTCGAACTTTGCAACTCTTCTTATATGTTTGTGTTATAGGCAGAAGAGCCAACAGATCCACTAAAATCCATTTGGGTGCAAAAGGGATGGTGATTAGCCAACCTGCAGGCATGAGAGAAACCCCCTGACTTGTCCTGTAGGTTCTCAGATGGTGCTGGTGGTGCCAGCAAAGGCAGCAAGATGGGAGGCAGTGGTAGGAGGAGAGGTGGAGCTGTGAACCAGAACCCTTGCTCTCCTAATATCTTTTTAATTAGAGTACATAAATATTGGCTGACATAGTAGTTACATCTTAATGGAGAAATTAAGAAACAGATTAATTTCTGGCACGATTCCCTCTTCCTGTTTACGTTGGTCCCTATTTCCAGCACTAGTTTAATTGAAGGAACAATTCTCTGTATTTGCTTATTATCTGCCAGACTTGTAAGGGAATAACTATACATTTGGGAAAACATAAGAGTGTTTAAGGGGCACCACCAGAAATGAAGACGTGCTTTAAAAAACAGCACAACTGGCCAATGTTATCATCCAGGGTATTAGGAAAAGAGCACTTACAAGGAAATTTGCTATTCTTCTCACTGTATCATGTAATTGAAAGGCTGTGAAGATGGTGCTTTCCATCTAACCTTGAGTATTTAGGAATTTAAAAGAACCCCAAATGACACAATGGGATAGGAATGGCTTCAAGGCCTGTTGAATTTAACAGGAGTGTTTGCATCACATCGAAGACATGCGAGATGATGCCTAGGCTGACTTCACTTTTACACTGACCCATACCTACATGCACAAGCCATTGTCCATACTGGAGGACATTGATGACATTGGGAACGATGTCTGCATTGTGTGCCTTTGGAGTTTAGATGACACTTTAAAATCCCTTGTTGATGTACTGGCTGTTGTCAAGTAAAAGCTCGTGGGCTTTTAAAAAATTTGGGATAAAAACCTTTATAATTTCCTTTGGTAAAATACAAACATGCTTTTAATTTTCAGGATTTACATGCTGGGAACCTGCATTGCTTCCATAGTATTTTGCAGCTTTGCCCTTGCATGATGTGTGGATATACTTTTGTTTTGACATGCACAAATATTTTGATTTTACTGGGAAATTTAAATACATTCTTAAAATGTGGCCCATCTCTTTAAAGCAAACAGAGAAACTGCCTGAAAAAATCCATTATTTTGTGAACCTCTACATCATAAAAGTCTAATTAAAGTCAATTAAGGTTTAATTTTATTAATATTAAACCATTTGCAGAACTAGTTGCATAATAAAAAAAATTATTCTACAATACATCAGGAAAGCTCTGTCAAATACATTATCTCTGACTCTTTATGTGAATATATACTTTAATTGCATTGGGAATTTAAAAATGAAAAATATAAATGAGATTTTTTTTTGTACTTTGCAATTTAAATTAGTCCATTCTTTATGACACTGCGTTTTCACCTCTATTAATTTCTTTGCTTCTCAAAGAAAAATTATACCCTAGGTGCCTCATTTAGCATGGGAGAGAAAAATCACACCAGTTTTACTAGTAAGATGAAAATTGTCACAAAATCCATATAGAAAATAGAAACATATTTTGTTTAAGTTGTAACTCAAATTTTTCACCAGGATGAGAACACACTGAACTCTGTATTAAAAAATGGTAATTAGGAAGAATGGAGCTGGAAAGGGAGTAATGTTGTGTTACATATTTGATCAGGTCCTGTTCCCACTACAGTCACTTTGATTAGATTTATGCTATGTGTTTGTAATGGCTTTTGAAAAACCATAACACCTATTTCTGCAGACCTGTACACATGAGGAAATTCCCTCATGTGAGTAATCAATTAAATCGGTGGAGG